TTAACGCCGAGTAATGCAATAGCTTTAACTTATGTTCAAGTGATTCAGTAAAACATATAGTCAAAGCAGATGTAGCAAAATGTTCGCAGTGATGCTGCATCAAGGGTATAAGAATGTTCATTGTTCTTTCAAGTATTTTGTTTCTTTAACATTTTTCATAACACAAACTTGAGGGAGAAAAAGGTAAGGTTGGTTTTAGGAAAGATGATTGTCCTATAGGCCCGTGGCCACTTACAGATCAAGCCAGACAGTCCTGGGAGTTCTCAGCTCCCCCCTGTCACCCATTTCTTCATTTAATAAGAAGCACTACTGTCTTTACTTATATCCTCACTAGAGGCCTGGTGCACGAAATTTGTGTACTGGGGGGTGGGGAGGGGTTCCCTCAGCTCAGCCTGCACACTCTCCAATCCGGGACCCCTCAGGGGATGTCCAACTGCCTAAACTGACATATCCTGACTGCCAGTTTAGGCAGTTGGACATCCCTCTGGTCGCTTCACGCAGCCTGCTGTTCAGTAGTTTGGTCATCCCTCACTAATCCCCCTGCCAGCCTGGTCACCCCATGCAGCATGCTGTTTGGTTGTTACTGTTACTGTGACAGCGTCCCAGACAATTTGCATATTTCTCTATTATTAGTATAGATAAATACGCAGTGCCTCCCAATTATAGAAATGGTATCTCTAAGTCTAAAGACCATCACACAGAAGAAGACCAAAAAGGCATCAGGAACCAAAGGAGAAGGCAAGGGTATCGAGCCCACAACCTGGGCATGTGCCCTGACCAGGAATCAAACCCTGACCTCCTGGTTCATAGGTGGACGCTCAACCACTGAGCCATACTAGCTGGGCTGATCAGTTTTTTAAAAGAAAACTATAGACTGGAGGGGCTTGGAAGACTCTCAGAAGGCGAAATTTGAGTAAGTCTTTGTGGAGTGGTAAGAGTGAGGGGAGAACGTTGGTTTGGGAGGAATTTATAGGTATCAATTTATGGGTATACATTTGACCATATGAGTGTCCTGTACCTTACCTTGGAATCACACCAGCAGATCTTCCAAAATTTGCTGCCTGCAAAGAAACTACTTACACAAATTCAGGATGGAGGCTCCCTTTGGAGGGTAGAGAACACAGGTATCAGTAACTTCCTATTTCTTTTTTCTGGAAGATGGCTCAAGAGTCATTCCATTCTTCAAGCTGCATATACATATTACAGTATGTTCAAGTTTAAAGAATGTTAATAGCTATGACCAGAAACCCAGCAAATAAAGCAACAAAGGATATAATCCTAATCAGATATGAGTGAGGCTAAAAAGTTTCTCAGGTGGTGAGATTTTAAGTAATTTTCTCCTGTTTCTGTTTTTTATAATTTTATTTTTTTTTCATCATATGTATGTAAAATGGGAGGGGGGCATATTTCAAGTGTCCCAAGGCTTTGGCTGCATGGGCTGCTGTGGAAAAGCAGTGGGTGTGGAAGTGGGGCCCTGGGTCTCAGTGTCCACCCCACTGTTTCTTTGTCACCTTCCTGAGAGCCTCCATGTCCTCACGCATAGGATGGGATGCCTCCCAGGATATTCTGGGGTGTAGGGCAGATAGTGGGTACAAAGCACCCGGCACACGGTGCTCAGTAAATACTCATTGCCTCTCATTCCCTGGAGAACAGGTGATTATGTTGTTACAGACTCTCTGTTCTAGGGAAGGACCCTGAGACACCGTTTAATCCAACTTCTTCACTTTGTTCCATTTAAATTGCTCTTAATTGCACCTGAAAACAAATTAAAAAATATAGATGAGCTCATGATGCAAAGCATCCTTCTTGGCCCGACTGTACCTCTCCCCACCTGCATCCCACTCGCCAGGCAACCTGTTCTCATCATTCCTGACTCAAGTTCTTCTAGTTATCTCCATGATGCCTGATAAGATGAGGATGACCCCTGTTTCTTACTTAGCCACTTTAGACAATACTTACAGACTCCCTATTTGGAAAGATGAGGTTTTAGCTCATTTACATCTCTTCTCACTCTTCCTCTCAATATTTCATTGTACCACTTATAATTTCTGTTGTTTTCTCTTGTAACCAGCGATAATATATTTACATTTTGCCTCTAGTGCAGCAGTGATATTGATCCTACACACGCTCAGTGGACTTCACAGGCCAGTGGCTGGGTGGGTTCCTGGGCAGAGTTGAAGGCCAAGTGTGGATCCTTTCAGACTGAGATTGGACTAGAGGGAGGTCAGCCGTTAGCATTGGCACCCACAGTGGAAGCTTGTTTGGGTCCCTGACGCAGGCCTGTGTGTGCTCCACACTGAACTAGACATTAGATAGATAGATAGATAGATAGATAGATAGATAGATAGATAGCACTTTTATGGGAAGGCAAAAAATGGTTTACATGTATATCTGACTGGAATCAAACCGGGACCCTTCATTCCTCAGGCTGACACTCTATCCACTGAGCCAAACCACCTAGGGCTGAACTAGATATTTTTATCATCGCTATGGCCTCAGCAAACAAATGCCGAACAAATACCTCCCAAGGAGGTGTTGCAGAGTATGCAGCCACCCCACTATGCAAATGGCCACGTAACGCCTCCTCTGGGAGCTCCTTGGCGAATGTTTTCCCACCTTTACCAGGACACCACATCCGTGTGTCTTTCCTCACCTTCATTAACAAATGGCATTGCCAGGTGGAGAACACACAGGAGGCATACCAGCATGAAGCATCCTTCCCAGGAACCTTTGGAGTTCTGAAGTTTGCAAACTCCGCGTGGTGGTGGGGAGGATAGGGGTAAATGGACACTCTTGTCTCCCCCAAAGAAATCTGAAGTGGAAGCTCATTGTGTAAAATGGATAAGTCAGCAACATTGCCTCTTTTCATATCTCCTAAATGTCTCCCAAGATCAATTTCACCCACATTAACAAAACAGAACGTGGATAGTTCATACAACGGGCAACTTTTCTAGTAACAAGGCATTTCTAGGAGCAACTAAAATTTTGGAAGCAAACAAGAAAGATAAAAAACTTGGCAGTGGGGTACCTGTGTGGATACTTCAGCAGTTCCTCATTGCCCTTCAAATAAAATCCAGGCTTCATACCATGCTTATGAGGCCACACATGAACTGGTCCCTCCCTACCATCAGGGCCTCAGACTGGACTATGATTCCTGCATCACTTTACTCCAGTTGACTTTCTGCCCCAGGCCCTTTGCACTGGAACGCTCTTACCTCATACCTACATAGCTTGCTCCCTCACTTCATTCCATTCTTTATTTAAATGTGTTTGCCTCAAAAAAAGATTTTTACCTAACCACCTTCTCTCAAGTAGTCCCTTCCCCAGTCACTCTAGCTTATTACCCTGTTGGTCTTATCACTATGTGAAATTTCCTGATTTATTTACCTTTGTTATCTGTCTCTATGAACTAGACTGTAAATGCCATGTGAGTGCAGAGATCTAGTCTAACTTGTTCAACATCATACCTGCAAAACCTAGAACAGTGCCTACTGCTCAATACGTATTTGTAAGATGAATGGATGTAATAATATTCTTGTATTTGGAGGATTGTCATATAGATAAATATGCTCATTTACATACTCATCTAAGAAACATAAGGGGGAAATATTCATTCACTTAATAAATAATTGAGAAACTATTATGTCCTAGGCTCAAAAATGAATTGGGCTGCCTCCAGAAGTTCTGAGCTATTGATTACTGGAGGTATAGAAGAGTAGCCTGAATATTATCTTTAAAAAGAAGTTATGAAATCAGTATCTAGGCCTCTATCATAAGGAACTAGAGAAAGAAAAGCAAATTAAACCCAAAGCAAGCAGAAGAAAGAACATAATAAAGACAAGAACAGGAATCAGTAACATTGAAAGCAAAAACTATAGAGAAATATGAATGAAACTAAAATCTGGTTCTTTGGGGGGAGAGGGGAATCAATGAAATTGATAAACCTCTAGCCAGACTGACCAAGAGAAAAAAGAAGACACAAATTACCAATACCAGGAATGAAATAAGGAGATTACTATAGATCCCACAGACATCAAAGGTCTACTGCAAGCAACTCTATGTCCACAAATTAAACTTAGATAAAAGGAGCAAGTCCTTGAGACACACAAACCCCCAAACTCACTCAGAAATATCGATAACCTGAATGGTCCTATTACTAAAGAAATGTTATACCTAGTTTTTTAAAAATATTTTTTTATTCAGAGAAGGAGGGAGAGGGAGAGAGAGAGAAACATCAGTGATGAGAGAGAATCATTGACTGGCTGCCGCCTGCACACCCTCTACTGGAGATCGAGGCCGCAACCAGGGTATATGCCCTGACTTGGAATCAAACCATGACCTCCTGGTTCATAGGTCAATTCTCAACCACTGAGCCAACCAGCAGGGCTATACCTCATTTTTTGTTGTTGTTTTTAAAGCTTTCAGCAAAGAAAACTTCAGATACAGATGGTTTTCTTGTGAATTCTAAGAAACACTTAGGGAAGAAGTAATACTGATTCTACATCCTCTCTCCCAGAAAATACAAAAGGGTAATCTCTTCCCAACTTACCTTACGAGGTCAGCATCATCCTGATTAGTGAGTTGGAGGGTTGGCCCAGCTAGCTGCTTTGAACCCACAGGCCTCACAACCAATGAGACAAACACAGTCTGGGGCCCATTATCTCTGCTTGATCCCACTGTCACTCATCCGAATTCTTCAGCAAACTCCTTATAAGATTATAATGAAAATGTGCTGCACACTCATCGTGTGCCAGGGACTTTGCTATGAAGTTATGCATTCTCTCAATTAATCCTCACAGCAGCCCCTTAAAATGGGTACTATTCACATCTTCATTTTGCAGGTAAATAGTCTCAGAGAGACTAATATCCCACAGCTAGCAAGTAAAGTGGCAGGATTTGAACTCAGGTCTGGCTGACTCCAGTGCTCAAATTTTTAGGAATGAAAATTCTTCCTGGTTTAAAGTGATTTTTTAAAAATTTCCCTCCATCTCTGTTTGCAGTCTCAGGAGGAAGTCTGTGATTTGCTCCATGCTGCGCCCTTCCAAAATATCTTGCCGCGAGTCTACATCAAAGGTAAGAAACCACTAACAGCCACTCAGAAGCCAACTTGATTTTGAACTTTATGCTTACTTAGTCCCAATAAACCAGATCTGCAGTCAGAAAGGGAGAAGGTTAAAGCTTTGGGCAGCTGTGAAATGGTCACAGAATGGTAGACTTGGATGGTGCCCCAGGCCTGTTTCTTCGTCCTTCTGGAACATCCCTAGCCTCTTGCTGTCTAGCCTGGGTTTGAATCCTTCGAGTGATGGGGAACTCTCATCATCCCACGAGGTAGATGATTCCATTGCTGGACAGAGAGAATAGAATCTTTTTTCTTATAGTGAGTCCTGATCACACCAAAAACAAGGAGAACAGTTCTACAGGCTCCATTCAAGTTTTAGACTGCAAATAGGTCGCCGCTCTCCGCATCCTCTGGGAGTGTCCCTTCCCCAGGTCCCCCTGTTGTGGCCTGGATCTCACTCTCTGCCTACTGCTCTTTGACAGAGGGGGAGCGTCTGGAAGTCCGGATGAAACGCCTGGAAGCCAAGTATGCCCCGCTTCACCTGGTCCCTCTGATAGAGCGGCTGGGGACCCCTCAGGTACGACCCTTCACTGAAAGGAGCTTTAGAGGGAGAGCATTTGGTCCAGCCCCTCTTTTTATAGAGAAACTGGGGCCCAGAGAGAGGAAGAGATTGTCTAACCCCAAAGCCTGTGAGTGGCAGGGCAGATCTGGAGTGAGATTTCCTGGCTGTCAAGCCTGAGTTCTTCCTTCCACCCCCTGTGTCCTCCATGCTGCCAAGGAAGAAGGAAATCAGACAAGGACCCATGATGCCCTGTTCGGGTTCAAGAGTTGAGTTCTGCTATGTTATCTCTCAGAATTAAAACTCCACACACCCTGTGAGCCAGCAGCCCACGTCTGCACATCTTTGCCAGGGAAACGCTTGCAGGAACCAGGTGTTTACTGCCACATTGCTCATTAAAGAAAAAGCTAGAAGCAACCTAAATGTCAGTCAGTGCAGGGTTGACTAAACAAAAGGAGATGACATCATCTAAACTCTGAGAGCTCGTTATGTAATCATGAAAAGGAAAATTCGATCCGGGTTCATCCATGTGGGTAGATCATAAGCACATGGCTGGATGAATAAAGCAAGTTGTTACACCACAGCTCATACAGTTTGATGCCATTTGTACATTTTTAAAGCCCCCCCACCCACACACACACACAAAAAAACCATTTAAGTAAAACTTTTCCTAGAAAATGATACACATCTAGGTCAAAATGGTGGCAAGCCCTGAAGAAGATGAGAGACAGAGATGGGGGGATCAAAGACCAGCCTCCTCTGAGATGTTCGAATGTTATCAAAGGTGAATGGGCATGAATTCGGCAACTAATTTTTACAAACCAGTCCTACCAGTGGCTTTGAATGTGAAGACGAGTAAGACAGGAACCTCTGCCTTCAGAGAACTCACAGACTGTGCTGGGGGTCAGGACAGAAGGAAAATGGGGAGAAAGAGAGACAAGAAAACCATGTGCTGGACCAGGGCAGAATTCAGGAAGAAGAGAGACAGGGCACCAGAGGGGCCAAGCCAAGATGGTGCGTTTTGGTCGCCAGAGCTCTCTGTCAGAGGTTTAGGATTCAGCCCCCTCTTGGGCTTGCGTTCCTGTGGTCCTCTGTCCTGTGTGTATCTGAAGACTCTCACTCTGGGGTCTCTCTTCTCTTGAAAAGCATAGCAAGCAGTTGGGGCAAATTGCAAAGCCGATCCGCCCCGGTGTCACCCTGATGCGCCAGACCCTCTGCATGCCACCCACCTCCTCTGGAAAACGTGACTAACCGTTCCGTGGGCAGGCTCTTTGAGTCACCCCTCAGGGAGTTCAGACACTGTGCAGGGCGCACACTTTCTTTCCCGGCCTTCGGGGGCTGAACAGAGGAGACTTCTAACGATTTCCTTTTAGGGAGAAATCCCCCAGGCCGGCAACATAGCAGTGTGCCTGCCCCTCGGCTGGTGTCATCCTACAAGAATCCGGGCCCTCGCACCGGGCTATGGCATGCGTTTCCACTCAGAGCGCTGGACTCCTGCCCTGCTCTGGCCAACACCATTTCCTGGGGACCGATATAAATCGCAATTTGTCAAACGCTGAGTATTGTATAAACAAAAGCCTAGACAGTCTGCAGGAGAGGAAATGCCAGTTTTACAAATCTGCCGGCCCTCAAGAAAGAGTCCAAAACTGTGCTCATCCTGTGGACCCAAGCAGAGTTAACTAAATATTAACTTCTGAGCTGGCTGGGGTTTGGGGGGCTCATGTCATACAGGGTGAGGCAAAAGGAGGTTCATAGTTGTTCATATGGAAAATTATACAGTAATGAATAAGTAATAATACAAGAATAAACTCTGTGTTTTGCTTCCTCGCAACTATACACCTCCTTTGCCTCACCCGTATGTAGGTCAGTGACGGCAGGTCTGCTACATATTCAAAGTCAGGAGGTTTTAACATGATTGCATCGCTTGCATTGGTTTCTGTGACACATTGAGGTGACCTGACTTGTTGCCCAGTGCTATCCTGGAAGGAACACTCTGGCAGAGGGTCAGAAGACAGGGGTCCTGGTCCCAGCTTCACCCCTGCATTGTCACATAACATAACGCTAGACATTTAACATCTCAGTCTTGGTTTTCCCATCTATTAAATGGGCTAGTAGCTGTTTTGTTTTGCCTTGCATGGTCATTATGATGAACAAATAAGTAAAAGGCTTCTAAAAACACAAATAATTATTTTTTTTAAGAAGAAGAGCATCAGTCCTGCCAGCTTGACTCAGTGGTTGAGCATCAACCTATGAACCAGGAAGTGGCGGTTCGATTCCCAATCCGGGCATGTGTCTGGGTTGCAGCCTTGGTCCCCAGTGGGGGGCATGCAGTAGGCAGCTGATCAATGATTCTCATTGATGTTTCTATCTCTCCCTCTCCCTTCCTCTCTGAAATCAATAAGAAATATATATTTTTTAAAGGAGGATATCATTCTCCTCCAAAGGTCACTAGATGTAATCAGAGTGCTCCATGTGGAAATGTATTTCCATGTGGTTTCACAGGTGCTTCGTCTAGTCCCTTGTTAACTCAGAAAAGAATGGCAGAGCCGAAACCGGTTTGGCTCAGTGGATAGAGCATCGGCCTGTGGACTGAAAGGTCCCAGGGTCGATTCCGGTCAAGGGCATGTACCTTGGTTGCGGGCACATCCCCAGTGAGGAGTGTGCAGGAGGCAGCTGGTCGATGTTTCTCTCTCATCGATGTTTCTAGCTCTCTGTCTCTCTCCTTTCCTCTCTGTAAAAACTAAATAAAATATATTTAAAAAAAAAAAAAGAATGGCAGAAAATGAGAGAACCCCCTCCCTCGAGTGGAATAGAAATGGTAGAAATGGATAAAATTTATGTTAAACTATATATATACACTCATACATATATTTATGATCATATATCACCAAGCACAAATTGGGGGTATTTACAGCAAATAGTCTATAATATACTTTTTCAGAGAAAAAAAAATGACAGCATACCAAACGAAGAAAGCACATGAAAGAAAACTGACAACATAAAAAATATAAATGCCGACAAACATCCGAGAAAGTGTCCAGCCTTCCCAGTAGTCCGGGAAAAGTAATTGAAAATCACAGGGAACGACCTCTGTTCATCTCTCATGCTGGTGGACGGCTTCTCTGAGCAGCGGAGCACCCGGCAGGGTCAGGAACAGGCTTCACACAGACAGGCATGCAGGGGCCTGTCACCATGTGGCAAAGGCTTTTAAACTATACAGTATACTCTTTGATGGAGCAGTTCTCTTTCTAGGGTTTTATCCTAAGGCAATAACTAGAGGTAACCTCAGCAAGTGTTCTGTGTAAGGCTGGTTGTGTAGGGATTGTCTGTGATGGTGAAGATTTGTAAACAATTTAAAATAACCCACAAGAGGAGAGGACTAAATAAATGATGGTGTGTCAGTGGCCAGTTCGTGTAGCCATTAAAAATTCATGTGAAAATATGGAAGGAAATGGTGTTTTAGAGAAAAAAAAGCAATACAGATAAGATGACCCAAATTTTGTTAATATAGATGTCTATACACACATACATGAACACAAATGATGCATCGGTATTTTAAGAAAGCTCATCTCTGGGTAATGGGGTCTATGGGAAATTTTTATTTTCTTAACATTTTAATTTTTTTTCTAGATTTTACCCAGTGACCATCCATGTATTTATAGTTCACAGGAAAACTGTAAGGCTAACCACTTTTTTAAGGAAAGGAATAAAGCCCCTAACCATTTCAGTCAAGGCCCCTATGGTTGACTGTAAGTAGGTGGGGGTGGGGTGGTCGCCAGAATTCATAGTCTTTCTGCAGACTTATAAACCCCCTTGCTAATTTTTTTAAAATATATTTTATTGAGTTTTTACAGAGAGGAAAGGAGAGAGATAGAGAGCTAGAAACATCGATGAGAGAGAAACATCGACCAGCTGCCTCCTGCACACTCCCCACTGGGGATGTGCCCGCAACCAAGGTACATGCCCCTGACCGGAATCGAACCTGGGACCTCTCAGTCCACAGGCCGACGCTCTATCCACTGAGCCAAACCGGTTTCGGCATAATTTTTTAATCTCCCCACAATTTTCAAGCCTTGAGGATTGATTCAGACTAACTAAATGCACAAGAGATTAATTAGTCATTCATAACTCTCTGTATGAACTTATGAAGGAGAATATTCCTGACTCAAGATCCTTTATTTGTTTATGAACATCTTCGCTGTCCTGGGCACTTCCTTTCTGAAGGGAAGAACCAAATGCCAGTCTGACAGAGAGTGGCCTGTGAGAACGAATCAAGCCCCAGGCCCAGGATTCTGTCAGAGCGATTCCTAGTTCACCGTGGCAACTTGAGTGCTCCCTTCCCTGCTCAGGAGCTGCCTTCTCTGCCCACAGAATCAAGACGAGTCCCCTTGAATCAGGGTTCCCTCTCCTTCCTGTTTGGAACAAATGTTGTGAAACTCTTCTTCCCCAATTCATGGTTTATTTAGAGACTTCTTTCAGCATGTTGTCATGACAACTGCACTCCTGACCCACAATATCCTAACAGGCTCCCACAGTGGTGTTTCCTGATTTATTTCCCTCCACAGATTAATTGAGAGGTTTTCCTCTTCCTGGGGGCTCCAGGGTGAGAGCTTGCATCAAGAAATCAGGCAGGCCCGTCCCCACCAGGCTCCCTGTAAAATGAGCTCTCTGGGGAGACCACCGCCTGGGGAGTCCATCCCACAGGTACCCTGTGGGTCTTTTGGTCTTAGAAGCCACCCTCGTTAGCTTTGTCCCTAGATTTGGAGACCATACTTTGACCTTAGATGTTAACATCTCTCGTACTTTGCACATGGCTTTTGAGACCTGTACCGCTATTTTTACTTGGCACTCAGACAGTAATGCATCTTAATGTGCTGCTGGTCTAGCCAGCGATGGCCAGGGATTCAATAAGCAGACGCCAGGGGAGAGCCAGTTTACGTTATTAATAGAGATCATTTACAGTGGTCAGAGGACTTCTAGCTAGAGGAATTAATTCTGGGAAATCAGTGGCAAATTTTAAGAGTAACATACGCTCATTGTAACACATCCAACTGTACAGAAGTATTTAAAATAAAAAGGGAAACTCTCACCCACTTCATCAAGCCCATCTGTTCTCACAACTGATGTTAATCCTTCTCACCTTCTAAAATGTTTTATACACACCCCACATAGAGTTGTGTGTGTGTCTGTGGGCTTGTGTGTTATTGATGTCTTTTCATAGGATTATAGTATATGTCCTTTCCTACAACTTGCTCTATTCGCTTAACAATTTAACCCACAGACCTACCAGGATTCAGAGCCTCACTGTATCACTCACCGGCTGCCTCCCCGAACCTCAGTTTCTTCATCTGTAAAATGGGAATAATAATGGCACATACTGCACAGGGTTGGTGTAAGGAATAAATGAAATCAATACTTACCAAGTGCTTAGAACAGGGCCTGCTAGGTTACACACTCGGTGAGTTGAGCTAGAAGTCAGTAGCACCGTAGTAGCAATCACACCGTTAGGATCGTCTCCGTCTTTTCAGTGTCTACCTAGCATTTCCTTCATTACATGGGTGTATCAAAATTCTTTAAAACTGTTCCTCTATCCATGGCTTGTGGACTTTACTTACTACCAGACTTCCCTGCCGCGGCGCTCAGGTTTACGAAGTTAATGCCCTGCTCTGGGCAAGACGTCAGTTCTGGTGAATGAATTGCAGGTATAGCCGCTCCAGCATTTGGGAGTCTCTGAGATGTGGATAGAAGGTTTATATACATGTTTCTGTCCCCAGCAAATTGCCATCGCTCGGGAGGGTGACCTGCTGACCAAGGAGCGGCTGTGCTGCGGCCTGTCCATGTTCGAGGTCATCCTGACCCGCATCCGGAGCTACCTGCAGGACCCCATCTGGCGGGGCCCGCCGCCCACCAACGGTGTCATGCATGTGGACGAGTGTGTGGAGTTCCACCGGCTGTGGAGTGCCATGCAGTTTGTCTACTGCATCCCCGTGGGGACCAACGAGTTCACAGCTGAGTGAGTACCCCCTAGGGAAGGCGGGTCACCTCCAATTAGCTGGTCCCCCCAAGAGGCATCAGCTGCCAGAGCCCAGCCAGAAATGTGGTGGGCAGGGGGAGGGCTGCAAGTCCTCTTGAGTCTGATGCAGCTCAGCCTGCACGATCCAAGTCTCAACAGCAACTCGGGCAATCTGGGAGGCCGCTGGCCAGTGCAGGACAGGAGGGCAGGGACGGGGCACGGGGGCACATGAGCAGATGCTGCCGGTGTGTGGGGTGGGGGCTGCAAGTCCTCTTGAGTCTGATGCAGCTCAGCCTGCACGATCCAAGTCTCAACAGCAACTCGGGCAATCTGGGAGGCCGAGGGGTCATCTCTCTGCTCTTTCTTGTCCTCAGCCGCAACCCAACCTGGGCAGGTTTCCCCCTCCCGCCCATTCAATCAGCCCAGCGTCCAGTCTCAGAAAGACAAGGCCCTCATATGCGGTCCGCAGACCCTAATGTGCACGCTCACATGCACACGCTCATCTCTGCCTCCGGCCACGTGTTGCCTTTCCTGGAATGTGCCCTTCTCCCCACTAAGATATAAATCCCAGTGATGTCCAAGGCTCAGTTCCAGTCCATCAGTTAAATTTTATTTTATTATTTTTTTTAAATGTTTTATTGATTTTTTACAGAGAGGAAGGCACAGGGATAGAGAGTTAGAAACATCGATGAGAGAGAAACATTGATCAGCTGCTTCCTGCACATACCCAGTGGGTATTTCCCCGTGCCCCGTCCCTGCCTCCTGTCCTGCACTGGCCAGCTGGTCTCCTGTCTGAAAGGGCTCTTCCCCTCACAGGTGCTCCCGGGCTCCTTTATGGGGCCCAAACTGATTCTTCTTTAACTTGCTGGAAATAGCAGCCATATAAATCTCATGGGCTGGTTGGCTTTCTCCTTGCAAATTTGTCTTTTTCAAAGGCGATTTTTCTTCTATTAGTGGGACAACAGACTGACACCTCTTTGTGGTTAGAAGGGCTTATAATATAACCACAGTCCCTGGAACAAGCGGATCTATAGCTTCTCTTGTACCCATTTCACAGATTAAGGTATTGTCCCAGAGACCAGCTGCTCACTAGCAGTGCTCCTGGTCTAAGACGAGGCCCCTTCCCACCCCTCCCTGCCTCTCACTCCAGCTGCTTCCTCTCCTGCTTCCAGGCAATGTTTTGGTGATGGCTTGAACTGGGCCGGCTGCTCCATCATCGTCCTGCTGGGCCAGCAGCGTCGCTTCGACCTGTTCGACTTCTGCTACCACCTGCTGAAAGTGCAGAGGCAGGACGGGAAGGATGAAATCATTAAGAATGTGGTAAGCAGCTGGGGCCCGGGCGATGGGGCCAGGCCTGCCAAGCAGGCTTTTCTCTAAAAAGGAGGGTGAGCTGATTATGGAGCCAACTCCCCACACTGCAGGGAGTACAGAGACACTCAGCAGAGGGGATCTCCTCATAGGAAGCCATGAATCATTTGCTCATAACCCGCTGGGATGAATCAGGTCATCCTGCAGGGCAGGGCCGGGCTGGGCTCCAGACCTGAAATACACCTTCCCTGTGCCAGCCAGGCTCGGCCGATGCCAGTTCCTCGTCTGCACAAACTTTCACTGAACGTGGGAGTTGTGCAGGCGTGGGGTACGCAGTGCTGTTGGGGAGCCTCCAGGAGGGCTGTCTAAACCAGGCTGAGGCGGGAGGGGGCAGGCAGAGGAGACTTGCCAGGGAGGTGGTGCTCAGACCAAATTCAGGATGATCAGCAGCAAATAGCCAGGCAGAAAATGGGGTCCAGAATGTTCCAAACAGAGGGGTAGCCACAGCAAAGACACAGACATGAGGATGTGTGGCTGGCAGGGGTGGGTATTCAGGACCAGCTGAAGGGAGAGAGGCAGGGGCCACCTCAAAGGGTTGGTTTTTGTTTTGTTTTTTCATTTTGGGAGAATATATAGAACATAAAATTTACCATTTTAACCATGTTAAGTGGAGAGTTTCACTATTTTTACGTTTCGTGTATTAAGTAGACTCAGTACGCCCACATTGTTGTGCAGCCATCCCCACTATCCCCAGAACGTATTCATCTCCCTGAAACTCTCCCCACAAAACACTAACTCTTCATCTCTTGCTGT